ATATATAAAAAAAATTCTAGTTCTTCTAACTTGTATAAGGAGTGAAAATCTTGAAAGGTCTCAAACGATGGGATGTTGAGCCAAAAACCTCTTTGCTTTCCAGGAATTTAACTTGTTAGCTTCAACCAGTCTGAGGGTAAACACTTTCAAATTCAGTGCAAGGATCAGGTTTCATATTTAAAAAATAACTTCCCAGGCTCACGCGTGCGCAGAGCCTTGGCTCTGTGCACGTGGAGGAGCCTGTGCTCATAAGCCTCACTCTTCCCATGCAAGGATGAACTGAGATGACTTGGCTGGAGATCTGCCACAAATGATATATTGAACTTTGGGCAGAATGCAGGGAGTGGAGTCACAGGCTGCTGCTTCCAGCCTGTTCATCATCCGTAATATAAAGCTGTGATAACAGGGTTACAAGTTTTGGTGTAAATATAGTACAGCAAAGCTTAAATGCACGTGGCTGTGTGTAAGCCAGGGTGAGGCATTGCCTTTGGGCTGGTGTGACAGTGAGCATGTACCTTCCCTGCTGATACGTCACCAGTGCCTCACGCCGATGCAGTTGGCTGCGGTGGTGCCATGGAGCTCAGCTCCTCTGTTGCAGGGGTTCACCAGCAGAGACTGATAAAGTTTTACGAGGCAAGATTATTTCCTTATTAATAAAAAATACAAGCTGTGTCCTTGCTGCCCAGCTCACTGAGGAGTGAGTGGTGCGGCTGTCAATTCAGCTGTACTCTGACTGGCAATGGGCATGGAAGAGGAATTATCACTTGTGCACGAGATCGACGCTCCAGGTCGCCTCCTCTCCCTGCTGAAGCCCTCTGGGGCTGCCAGCCTGGGCTATTTTTAAGGCTGGAAACATCACGTAAAGCAGACACAGGGTGAGGAAGTAGCTGATCCCCTGAGGGGAGGAGGGTTAGATGCTCCACTGCTGCTGCTTGTGGTGATGACAGCATCCATCCCACTGCTGTCCTGGCCCTTAGGGCTCCCAGTCCTCCAAAAATCTGCTGTGTGCTCCTGCTGCCTGCAGCAGACAGGGAAATGGTTACCACGTTAGCATCAGCAGTATTGGTACTGCTAGTACTGAAATAACTGGCTTTACTTGGGCCTCATATCCATCCCAGCTCCACAAGCATGGGCTGGTGGTACTCCTGCCCCAAGAGCTCTGGCCACGAGGATGCTTTTAACATACAGAAGCACTAGGCACTGTCCTTGGGCAACCTTCCCTGGCAGGCAGGTCAAAGCAGATGCATGATGGATGGCAGTGACATCTGGAAGGCACGTGTTGCTGTGGTCACAAGGATTATATTAACACCAGCATCAGTATCTTCCCTCCTTGCCTCTGTTTTTAGTTGCCTCCATAGGATCTGAATGGGTGGCACTGCCTGGTTAGTGCATCCTCCCAGTGCCGCTGCAGGCAGTGCAGCAATGTGATAGCTGGGTAAGCAAATCTGCCTGGTGTAGCTGCAGGGAGGTACCTAGTAAAGGCCTTGACCGTTCCAGTTGTGACTCAGAGCTGCTGGGAGCTGCTCCTGGGCTCTCCTGCCCCCACCCTACCCCGCAAGCAGCAGCGGGTGTCACATCCCTGCACATACCTGCATCCCCTTACCTCTTCCTGGGAGAGGTGTGCAGAGCAGGAGTAGGGATGCTGCTGCCAGGGGTGAGCTGGCACAGATTTCAGACCAATTTGGGCAGTAGAAGATCCTGTGCCTCTCTATGGTTGTCCCTGCTGCAGCCACATGGGAGCACTGTGAAGTAGGAGGCTGCTGATGCTTTAGGAGCTGCAACCTCTCCCGCTCATTACATGTGTCCCAGCAAGGGACTAGGAGGGAGCAGTTCTTTGTGCAGTGCTTGTCTTGTGCATGTGTGTGTCCTCCTAGGACCTGGGGCTTTAATTTCTGGGCATGTTCCTTCAAAATGCAATATCCCACCCTGAATGGCAAGGTGACCAAGCACAGAGTGGTCTGCTGCAAGCATGTGCTTGTCCCCATCCATCTGCATTTATTCTTTACCGTTAGCTTTTTTTCTTCTTGTATTAATGAGGAAGTAATTTATAACTTTTTCACCATTTGCTAAGAGATACAATACTAAGTTTCCAGTTTGGTGAGATGAGAGGGGTCCCTTCTGTGCTTCCGCAAGCAAAAAAAGGCAACCCTTTGTGCAAAGAAAGAGGGGGTTGAGTTTCACCGTGCGTTGTCAACTGGACTAAGTATTGAGAGCATCCTCTGGTGATAGGATTTTAATGGGAATTCAGTTATTAAAATTTAAAGCAGTATCAAGCATCCAAAATAATATTTATCACACTTGAAAAGCCCTTAGGTTCTGTTTACAAGTCCATCGTGAGTATGAGATAGTTTGGGCACTACTTATTTGAGTGGATAAATGGTATTAATGATGTTATGGTAGGTACTAGGACAGTAAAGCAAGCTGAAATGTCAGGCCAGCAATGACTTGTCCCAATTGATTTAAGTGAAAGATTTTGACCTTGCAGGTAAAGGCAACCCTCCCTGCTTTGTTTTAAAAGATTAAATTGTCCCTAGATTGTTTCTTTCTTGATATATCATTAATGTAGTTATTAGAAGCAGCCTTTCTGCTATGGAGAATATACTGTGCTTATGCAATTACTTAACTGTCCCTATTCTTAAATATGACTTAGATTCTTAACTCTTAATCTTAGCCAATTCATTCACTTCACTACACTGCAATTCTGGGTTTATTAAATTGCTCTCAGGATAAATGTGTGAAACCTTTTTGCTATCAATATGTTCTTGAAACTAAATGTATGCTTAATTTGAAAGGTTATGGCTGCTGCTTTAAAAAAAATCTGAATTTTACACTGGGTTCAATAAAATAACTTATAAATCTGGCTACTTACTGTAAATTGACTTTGATGGGTCATTTGCAACCCTTGTGTCCAAGGCTTTGCAGAGCTTCTTGGACAGCTCTTGGGAGGTGGTGGGCGGGACAGTTTTGTGTCTGGGTGCCTGAACACCAGCTGTTTTGTACCGTGCTCATGAGAAACCAGGGCTGCTCTTGCTTTGAGTCAGCATGGTGAATGTCAGCCCCACGATGTGCAGCTAGGAATGCCTATGCATGGTAAGGTAATTGGAAGGGATGAGACCACCTTGTCCTGGTAGGTCTGGGGGCTGCCTGTGATGGGACTAGGTGACTCAGCCCTAAACGGCCACTTTCCAGGACCTCTGTGGGTTGTAAGGTTGGTGCTGGTGCCCTGGGTGCTGTGGGACCAAAAGGCCAACCCTCCACTAAGCGTCTGATATTGGAGAAAGTGGAGAGGCAGCATCCTCCTGTAGCAGCTGATGCCTTGCTACAGGCAGGGAACTTTCTCTAGTGCCTAAAATAAAGGTCATGCATGGCTAAAGATGCCTTATGTAAAGCTGGTCACTTTACTGTAGAAAGCAGAAATTCATGGTTATGTAAAATCTCCTTAAAACATCTACAGGTATAACAGGCTGGAGGGGTTTTGCCCAGGAGGTAAAAAGATGCAGAGGAATGGGGGGGCTGGAGAAATGTGTCATGCTGGGCACTGCTGTGTCTGCTGGGGCATGGAGGCTCCTCTCCTCTTGCACTATGCAAACCAGAGGAAAGGCTGTGTGTAATGTGATAGTTTTTATTGATCCTTTGAGGAGGATGCAAGGCAGGATTTCCCTGTGCAGACTGCTGCAATGACAGTCCTTGTTGGCATTGGGACCTGTCTGGGGACTTTCCTCTCTGAGCCCATTAGAAAAGGACCCACTGGAGGAGCGTGTCCCCTCCTGCTGTGTGTGGTCCTTAGGGATAAGGTGCTAAGTAGCTTTTCCTTCCAAGTGCCATGTGCTCCTTTGCTTTGAGCTGTTTGTGATACCTAAAGGTGACACTCAAAATTCTTCCTTTGGCCAGAAAATGCAAAGGTTTCTTTGGTGTGGCGTTGTCTAAGGCAGCCACCTGCCCCAGGATGGGGATGAGTACCCAGCTGGATTGCAAGTCTAGAGCTCATGCCACATGGGGACACCCTCATGCTGATAGGGACATCCTCAGCTATGGGTGGCTTTGGAGTCTGCTCACAGTGGCACAGGGAGGTGGCTGGATATAACAAAGACTAGTCGCTCAAGTGTAAACTTTTATCTTTTTTTTTTCTTCCATTCCACAGATTATCCTCTTGATCTGAACCACAATGACACCTTTCTGCAAGCCACAACATTTCTTCCTGAAGACTTTACCTACTTCCCCAACCACACCTGTCCTGAGAGGCTCCCTTCTATGAGTGAGTAGTACCCTGGTGGTCCTGTGCCCCTCTCCTGCTCCCTGTGGCTTTGGAGGGTGCATTGTGGCATTCCCTGGCTCACTGGTGTTGCACCTCTCCTCGTCAGGCAGCTGGGGATAAATGGGAGTGCTGTTTGGAGCCCAGTCCCCTCCTGCGAAATCATTGTTTACCCACTCACACAAATTAATCCCTGCTATGTCGGAGGCATGTCTTCCTGCCAAAGCAGGAGCCCATCACTTGGCAAACACAAACAAAAGAGGAATTGTGCACTAGGAGCTGGTGAAAAGGCTCAGCCAGCCCTTTTCCAGAGGCAGTGGCAGTGGGGTGGCTCCCTTGCCCCTTGGCAGTGCTGCTGGTCCTAGCCCCAAGCTGTGCTGGGTGCAGCTGTGCTGGGCAGGGGCTGGTGCAGGAGACAGGCTGGACCCCCTGCAAGGGAGGGGTCTGTGTGTGCTGAAAACCTATGTGGAGGAGTAAGGGGGTGCCCTGGCCACTGCAGGTCTCTGAGAGCTGCATCCAGCAGTGACCACGAAGGTTGAACAGAGCTCACCTTCCAAGGAGATGGAGGTGTTATGAGTCATGGCAGCAGCATCTAATAATTTTTTGTTGGTGCTTGGGGAAAAGAAGAGGCTGTCTGCCTTCAGTGCTGGGGACAGTGGGCAGGGATGCAGCAGAGCACTGCGCCAAGCAGGCACCGAGCTGCCCCAGGACCACTGCCATTCCTGACCCCCTCCTCTGCTTCTCCCTGCTGTCTCTGCAGAGGGCCCCATCGATGTAAATATGAGCGAGATCACGATGGAGGATGTCCACCAGTTCTTCTCAAAAGACTCTTCCATCAGGCTGGGAGGCCACTGGAAGCCGAGTGACTGCCTGCCTCGCTGGAAGGTAGCTGGGGAGCCCTGTGTCCCTGCTGAGTGCAGAGGGTCCTGGGTGGGTGGTGGGAAGGCAATAATGGGAATGTCTCTGATGTGCTAAAGCTCCAGAGTAATGAATATAAGGATCTCTGAAGTGTGGGGCTGCAGTGCCTGGGTGGGGCAATGCTGAACTCAAGGGCTGCTTTAGTGATGCATGAGTCAGCTTTGAGTTTCTGCATGGACTACTAAGGAGTTGGGCAGGGAGCTTGCCTGCCTGCTTCCACGCTGCCGAGCCTCCTGCTCCACCCACCACCCTGTCTGGGGTAGGATGTGACCCAGAGAGGCACGGTCACACTGCTGGGGACTCCCATCCCCGGAGGGAGGTGGCTTTGGGCAGTGTGGTGGCAGGTCCTGGCCCCACTCCTGCTGTCCCCAGCACTGGGCAGAGGCAGTGGGTGGGGTGCTGTGGGTCTCCCTCCCACTCAAGGTTACATTGAATTTCCTCAAGGAAACAATACTGCAAAAACTGAATAGGAAAGCTGTGCTGTGGCGGTAGAAAAGCTGTTCCAGTCCTACATGGGAGAGCCAAGACACTGTGTTTAGTGCTGCTCCCTCTCCTGTAACACCAGCTAGTCCTGCTCCCCAGCCAAGGGGTCGGTCAGTGACAGAAGCCACTGGTTCAGTACAGTAAGAGCTGTGTCATCTCCCCATCAGGTGGCGATCCTGATCCCGTTCCGCAATCGATACGAGCATCTTCCCGTTCTCTTCAGACACCTTATTCCCATGCTGCAGCGGCAACGTTTACAGTTCGCCTTTTACGTTGTAGAACAAGTGAGTGAGCTCTGGGGTGGTCGGGGTGGCAGCCTCTGGGGCACCAAAGTGCTGTGCTAGAAATGCGTCTGCAGGAGCTTCAGATAAGGCTGCAAGTGTAGCTCTGCACTGTGTCCTGGGGCATTTACCTGCCAGATCACATCATTTAAAGGTTTGGGGTTCATGTTGCAATGTTTAAGTTGTCCCATTCTGCTGAAGAGTGGCACAGCTGAGAGGTGTGTCCAAAAAGTCTGGTTTTAACTAAAAAATAGAGATTCAAGGTGTTTCGGGGTTTTTGGTTTTTTTCCTAAATCTTGTATTGGAGGAGATGTTTAAAAAAAAAAAAAAAAAAGACAACTTTGAACCAGATATTTGCAGTTTAAGTAATGCTGCATTATTTTTGTATGTATCTGTAGTAGTTGCAGGGAGCATCCCCCAGACACAGGCATGGCCTGACCAGAGTTACACATTTCTTGTCTGGGAAGTATCTGGAAGACTTTCATGACTGTAAAACAAAGACTGTCATTTGATATGTACATGAACCTGTCACTTAAGCTACCTAGCTTCATCTGGCCAGTAAATGTACCTCCATATTTAGCTCTGTCCTAAAAAGATTGATCAAAATTGTGTTTGTTTTTTTAGGTGTCGGAGTAAAAGACTTTAGCATCTTTATTTTTGCTCCTGCACAGTAAATTGAATATTTAAGTCTTGGTTGATCTCACTAGTCTGTCTGTTCCAATACATCATTTCCTTTTGCGCAACTGATTTAGGAGCAGGTTGCCCTCTGCAGTTTTCTAGACAAGACTGAGAATGCACATGCAGAGTGTGAACTGCACGGGGCTCCCCCTGAAAAGGAACTCTCTCTCCCCTAGGCTGGAAACCAACCCTTTAACCGTGCCATGCTCTTCAATGTTGGCTTTCGGGAAGCAATGAAGGACTTGGACTGGGATTGTCTCATCTTTCACGATGTGGACCACATACCAGAAAATGACCGTAACTATTATGGGTGTGGACAGATGCCGAGGCACTTTGCAGCCAAGCTGGATAAGTACATGTATCTGTAAGCACCGTTCTTTTTCCCCACTACCATAATAGCTAAGGAGCCAGTGTTAGATTATTTATTTTTTTTTTTAAAGGCAGAAGATGAATCTCAATTTGCTTCTTGGGCTTTGTGCGAAGTGAACATGAGAGGGGAATAGAGGAAAGCATCCTCACAGCTCAGGCTTTCCCCATCACCGGCGGGAGAGCTGCAGTGCTGTAAGGCTCTGCCCTAACCTCTTCTCTCCTATTTAGGCTCCCTTACAACGAGTTCTTTGGTGGGGTGAGTGGCCTGACTGTTGAGCAGTTTCAGAAGATCAATGGTTTCCCTAATGCCTTCTGGGGCTGGGGTGGTGAAGACGATGACCTCTGGAACAGGTATGGGCTTGGCTCAGCTGGTGTCCCTGAACTCCGCTTCTGATGATGGTTCTGCGAGCCAAGCTCTGCACATACCGCAGGGGAAAGCGTTGTCACCTCTGCAGCCATTGCTGAGCTTGCTGTGCCCACTTCACCCGGGCTGGGGAAGAGCCAGCCCGGCTGTGGTGGCTTGGTGGGAAAGGGGGCTGCTCCAGCCTGTGCAGGTGGTAGGTTGGAGGCAAACAGAAGGGTTGATTGGGAAATTACTGGCTCTGTGTGCAATATCCCATGCTGCTGCAGTTGAACTGATCCTGGCTGAGCTGAAGACTTGAGGTGCTATGTGATTTGCCTGGAGCCTAGGCTGGACTGGGGAGGTTTGCATAGCTTACGTGCTGGGTGGAGAGGCAAAGCTGCTGTTGGAGCCCCAAGCACACTAACTCCACAGCCCTGGCAAGTGCTGATGGCACAGCAAATGCAACAATTGATTTTTATTTTTTTGTTTGTTTTGTTTTCCCTCCTTCTAACACAGAGTGCAGTATGCAGGCTACTCGGTGACTCGACCAGAAGGAGACACAGGGAAATACAAATCAATTCCCCACCACCATCGGGGAGAAGTGCAGTTCCTAGGAAGGCAAGTGCATTTTTTTTTTTAAAGATCCAAAAGCCTTTCACAAAGTCTCTGTACTGTGCACAAGGCTCCCTGCAGCTGTTTGAGGGTAATACACCCTTAACTCATGAAGGAAACTAACTGTAGGAGATGAACCTAGTTTTGAGTCAGAGGATGATAGTCGCACTGGTTTCATCCAATGATGGTGTATGCAAATGGTGAGAAGGCAGCAGCTCCAGCATACTTCCACCACAGCACTGAGATGGAGCAACTCATCTCTTTCTTCTGTTTCTGCCTCTTGGCCCCAGACCGGGCTGGGTGTACAGAGCCCCTAATTCAGGGTTTGCTCTCTTGTGAGACTTTGGACATCCATCAGGAGCAGTAACTGTCCCCTGTATGTAAGGAGCACAAGTGAGGCATAAACATTTTGTCTTTTTTTTCCTCAAAAAGCTGAATTCTCCCTGGTGCTTTCCAGGAGGGCTCCAGCCCCTTTGTCCAGGACCCAGGGTTGTTTTGGGAAGTACGAGGGTTGGTTGAATGGCTGCTTTTGCCAGGGGACCTTGGTGGAATTTGAGTCTTCTGAAAGCTATGCAACAGAAAACTGAAGAAATAATTTTTTCTAACAACTGCAGGAATTAACACTCATAGGTGACAATCTGCTGGACAGTGCTAGCTCTGCTCTGCAGAGGGGCTCCTGGCTGCTGCTGGCAGAAGGGGCAGCAAGGAGGGTTTATGCCGCAGACACCATTTGAGCTATCTGCTGGTCGTTTTTGGGAGACTTGGCATTTGAGGTTATATCATCTGTAGCCCTAGTTTTCATTTCTCTGTCAGAATGCAGTTGGTAAGAGATGCTTCTCTCGTTTCACTCTTGAAAAAGAGAAGTCTGTTTTGGCTTACAAAGCCATACTTAGTCAAATCCCTGAAGCATGGAAGGCTGAGAGTGCAGTGGGATTGAGCTCTTGCTCCTAATGGGTCCCTGGTCTCCTGGCCCCAGCCAGGAGCCCTAGTTCAATGTCAGCTGGAGTTGTGGGTCAGTGCTGCAGGAGGGGGGAACTGTCATGAAGATGGGCAAGGCAGTGGTTTGCCCAGGTGAGGCTGATACCTGTGCGCTTGAGTGCTCCTGCATCTGCTGCTGTGTCTGGAGCCCAGTGCCCAGCCTAGGTGAGGCTTAGCAGTAGATATCCTCAGTGTCCTGCCTCTGAAATCTCTGCTTACCTCTGCTCTGCACTTACCCACAGGCAAGTACTAACCACTGCCATATAAAAGCCCTGCTGCTTCTCCCACCCAAGCAGGGGACCCAGCACCTCGCTATGGAGAAGGAAAGGATTCGTCAAGACACTAAGTGTCCTGTCCATGTCCTGATGCTATGACCTCTTTGAAGCCAGTTTTGGCACTTCCCTCTTTGCTCTCACCTGGCATCTTCCTCCCAGCACATCCCTTCCCTGGTGCTTTTTCTGTCCCCTGGTCTCAGCCCCAGTTCCTATTTGCCTTGGTGCTGCTGGACCCCCAGCACTGCGGAGCAGACAGTGTTCTGTCCTGCTGAGCTGTTTCAGCTTATTTTATTTTTTCTGTCCCACTCTTAGCCCTTATCTCCTCATGCTCCCCCTAAATTTGGTTGAGGCTAGTTTTGTGCACCAGCTGCAGCTTCCTTCCCGAAACCATCACTCTTCTAGTTTTACTTCCTTGTCTCCTATCTCTTGGACTAAAACCATTAGTTCTGCTCTTGTTTGTGGTCCAGTTTCTTAAAAATGGAAAGGACTACATCATCCTTCAGCTGCTTTTCTCCAGGATGTTTTGGCTTGTGAGGGCTTGACAGGACCCCCCCAAGCTCAGCCCACTCCTGGGAATTGGACCCGCAGGCTTCAGGCAGGAGTTACAGGTTGTTTTGACAGCTGAGTGCTTGCACAGAGCATTTTGCTCTTCATCAAGTGATGAACTGTAATTTTCTAAAGTTTGATGTTTACCAGTATAGAAAATGTGATGGGTATCTTTATTAAGGGCTCAGAAATTCATTGTTTTGTAGCTGCTGCTGGGACTAGCTGTTTAAGGGTGTTTTAGTAGTGTTGGGAGGACTTTACAGAGCTCTGTGGGATATGTAGAAGTGACTCTGGCCTTTGGTTCTCATTGCACAGGTATGCCTTGCTGAGGAAGTCAAAAGAAAGGCAAGCCCTGGATGGCCTCAATAACTTGAACTACTTTCCAAACGTCACGTATGACGCCTTGTATAAGAACATCACTGTTAACCTGACACCAGAGCTGGCTCTGGTGACCGAATATTAAGAGGAGAAAATAACTTTACTCTGCCCTTCACCAAGAAAGCACCATGCTAGACTTTCTTTTCCAAGGGTTATCGAGGACAAGCAACACTTTGTCTAATGAAGGATCACAGTATTTTGGAGAATAAGGCTGAAAGTGCACGCACAAATTGCCCTAGCTGTACCAATCCAGCCCAATATTCGTGCAGCAAGCTCAGCAGTCTTTCTTTTTTCTGCCACTTGCTTTCTGGGTTTCAGGACGATTCAACCTGCTGCTCTTGTCTCCACATTCCTCCTCCAGCAATCTCCAGCACCGGGACTCGCCTCAGACACGCTTTCTCGTCCAGGAACTGGCTCGGCTGAGGGACTCTGGCTTCTCGATGGCGAACATCGGGAGCTATTTGGTCGGCGGCTGCCCTGGTGGGAGATCAAACGACTTCTGATACCATTCTTCTATCTCTGTGCGGTTTTTAAAATGACCTGCTTGAAGTGTATACAACAGAATCGCTTCTTAAAGAAGTGTAAGTGTAAATATGCTGTGTAAATTGCCCCTTTTAATTTTTCTCCTATGGCTCAAATCCAAGCTAGAGGTTTACCTATGGTCACTCATTCTAGTCCTGAATTCTGTAAACACTTGTGTGTGCATCACTGTACTTGTGCAAAGCGTTCCCTTTTAAGCCAGTGAGACTGCTTGCATGATTTAAGCTGTGCATATGCAGGAATGTTTGTGGGACAGGGCCCTAAACTTTCCAGTGTAGTGGATGAGAAATACAGCTGTGTCATTGCTCATTCCAGAAACCACAGGGGTGGCTTCTTCCAGAGAGAGCAAGGAAATGGGAATACTTATGGAAAACCTCCCCTTTCTGTCACTTTTGCAACATGATCTACAAATGAATCCAAAAGCCATTCAGAATAAAATCCCTTGCCTGTTGCTCTCTGTCCTACTGATGGCAAGTGTGAGCTTGGCAGATTGTTCAAGAGCTCTCATCCGTGCCGCTGCAGGAAGCGCAGCTCCTGGGCTGGCTGCTCTTGCCGACGTGCCGTCCTTGGGACGGGGCAGCTGGCTGCGCTGCCCTGAGCTCGCCCTGGACTGGCAGCGCCCTGCTGTCACTTCTCTAAGGTGATGGTACAGTTTGGGAGGTTGTTTTATTTTGTATTTATTGTGTAAATCTAGCAGCACACCAAACTGCTGTAAGTCAGAACGAGATAGTTCACTTCGTTATCACCATTGGCACCTGGCAGCGCTTGCACAAGCCCAGCTGGTGGGACAGGTTAGTGAGAGAAATGAAGGACATGTGAATCAAGCCCATGAAAACATGAGGACTGGGAACCAGAGAGCTTGTTCCGATGGCCCATCCAAACAGGAGCGCCCCCTCCCTTCTCCCATCTGCCTTCCCCTCCTTTCCACGACCGCTGTGGGCAGGCTGGCTTCCAGGCTCTCCTCCCCACTGGTATCCAATCCAGTCCTTACGCAGCTCCTACACAGTCACTTTTACTGGACCTCTCTGACTTAAAAGTAAATACATTGGGGTTTGCTTTTTTAATTTGTATTTATACATAACAATGGTGGGTACTTAACCTCCAAAGTGCTTTAACTTTCTTTTTATTGTGTTGTTTGCCTTCAGTTTCCTTAACTTCTCATGGTTTACATTGTTTTCTCGGTTCTGTGGACGTATGATCCCCATACACATCTGTTGTGGGTGTGACTGCCCAGGGCATTCCTAACTTGTATCCAGAAAATGTTAGTTTAGAAAACATGACTTCTTGTTGTGTAGATCTTATCGGCCAGTATGAGAGGACAGCGAGCCTGTCCTTGAAAAGCGCTGATGAGTTTGTAACTTTGGTTTAAAGTCTTTGAACTTACATGTGCTTTAAACTCGCTTCCTGAGGGGATTCAGCCTGGTTATTTATAGGCAGAGGTGAGGATTTGCTTTTTACGGCGCATATAGCAATAAAGACTTCTGCTTCTGAATCTCAATCTTTTAATTCGTATGGACCCTTTTCAGATGCTGAACCCATGTCACCCTGCCCCTCTTTATGTTCATCTTGAGACCTTGCTAGAAATCTGTCATTGTTTAATGGTGCTTCAAACAAGGAATGTATTTCAACTAGTCCAAGTTCACTACCCCAGGAATCATGCATGTGTGTGTGAGTAGGTGTTAAACTACCTTAGTCGGGATCCTCAGCCTTTGATGTGTACCTGACACCCATCGCACCTTGTGTTGAACAAAAAGCCATTACCTCTGCTCAGAAATGCACTCTGTGGTTGGCACATAAAGGGTCCATCCCCCCCAGCAGCATCCCTCTTCATAGTTCCTTTGTTCTAATCACGTTGAATTTTTTTCCCTTTCAAAAATGTGGAATATCTGAAAATGTGCACTGTTAATCTTATCAGCTATGTCAAATACTGTATAGTAAATGTAAACTTTTAAAAACATACTGTCAAGCGCATGTGCTGTTATGGTGTAAAAATTCTTGTATTAGGGAGAACTTGTACATATTCTGGCAGCTGAAATTCAACAAGGCCACTCATTCGCCCCTTCATGTCAACACTGTTGATCAGCCCCACTGGAGGGCAGGTCCTGTTTGATGCTGATTTTTTTTTTTTAAATGAGCCATGTGGATTTTATTTGCAAAACTGCTTATTGACAGTTCATTATCTGTAAAGCTCTGTTTCTCTAAGGGAGGTACTGTCTGAGCAACAGCCACAAGCTTTGGGTAGCTCACCGTCAGAAGTGGCTTTAAAAAGTAGCTTTCCATCATCATGGCTTTTGAGCTTGCAGTTATGTTTTTAAGAGGTGCCAGGGGGACATTTTTGCACTGAAGACTAGTGTTTTAAAACACACTTCTCAGCAAAGCAATCCTTTGTGTCATTACATTTATTTACCCATGTGTTTGTACATTTTTGTATTTGTTAATTTATGAATGATTTTTTCAGTAAAAAAACACATATTCAAGAACAAAGATTGCCGTGGTTGCTTTTTTTTTTGGTAGGAGGTGAGATCTGTGAGCCTGGAGGTGTAAGTGGTTATGAGACCTGATGACTGGAGAAGGGTGAGCCCAGGAAGCTAAAAGCTGGCTTGGTATTTCTCATTTGGGCTAGACTCGCTGCCCAGAAGTGAACTGAGCTCAGGGAGAATGCTCCCCATGCTCTTAGTACTCTATATGCTAAAGCCTTTCTTCCAAGCATCTGCTTCAGCATTGTACTGATGGAGGGGCTGCCTTGCGGGAGGCGGGTTTAGGATGATACTTGGCTGAAGGTGATGCAGGGCTTGGAGATGTTGATGGGGAAGGTTGGTAATTATATTTTTTTCATCAACAAACCCAGGCAGACAGGCGAGCTTCCTTGCAGCAGCTTTAAAATATCTCTCCTGCTCTGCAGTGTACAGGCATGCTAGAAAAAGTAGCTGGCAGCCCCCGGTTGTTCCAGGCCTTGCCTTTATTTAGCTCTCGGTCTTCTGGGAACCTTCCTCCCACCCACGGTGCAGGGTGGCAGGCTCCTTCCAGCCGCTGCCCAGGGACAATGGCCTCACCTCCCACTGCACTTCCAGGAATGAGGGTGGGAGCCCATCTCGTTCCTGGCTGTGTGCTGATGGGAGTCCCTGGCCTTGGTTTGGGAGGATCCCTATGGCTGTGTCCCTTCACCGGTACCCCAGTTGTGAGGATTTCATTGCCTGTGTCACCCCTGCTGCAGCTGGGCTTGGCAGGGGCTGGGGGAGATGGATGCACATGGAGGAATTTGGGGTTGCCCCTATAACAAGAAGGGTAGGGAAGCCTCCAGCCTGTGTTCCAGGTGTGTGTGTGTGTGGAGCTCCTCACTGGGGCCAGCTGAAAAAAGAAGAGCTGGGAGCAAGCCCCCTTTTGCATGAGCTGTGCTGGGAGGGCACTGAAGAGAGGAGCCGTGCAGTGGGCTGGCTTGGCAGCACAGCTCTGGCACAGCCACTGCTGCCAAACAGCAGCTGCAGAGCAAGGCTTTCCTCTAGTGCAGCCTACACCTGCGGGGGAGAGTGCTCCCTGCTCAGGCAGGGAAATAGCTCAGCCTTCTGTGCTGCAAAATCCTCGAGCTTTCCTGCAGAGTGTATAAAAATCCCCAACCACCAAAACAGGGTGTTTCCTCCTAGTTATTCACCCCTTCATTTCCATGTGACACAATCAACCTGCCCAGGATGGCCTGGGCTGGGAGCTGGAGCCACATACATCCTGGGGCACATGTGGCTGCAGGGCATCCCTGCCTGCCTGGGAGGCACTACCCGGGGGGATGCCCTGCTCGGGATCTGGTGGAAAGGCTGGGCAGGAGCTTGGGGCAGGGTTTTCTCTCCTGTTCACATGCATTTTTATGGCACTCCCCAGCCCCAGTGGGCTGGGAGGTGTGAGTACGGGCACTGACATGGGCTGGGGAGAGGCAGGGGCGCTGGTCCCTGCACTGCAATGACCATGAGGTGGTACTGAGGGACTAATGATGCTTTGCATCTACTCCTTCCCCTTCAGAGCACCTGCTCTAGAAATCAGGCTTTTTCTGAACATCTGATAAATACCACAAAAACCATAATGACTTTTTTCTCCCAAAGATTTGTGCAGCCTGCCAGAGGCACCAGAGCAGGAGTGGCTGTACCCATGTAACTAAAGACAAGGGTATGAAAATGATGTGGCCCCTCTCGTCAAGCAGACAGAGATAAATTACTCCCATATGTGAATAGGGCTGGTGAGTCCTGACAGTGTCTGCCCTGGCAGGATGAGGCCAGGCTGTCTGCCTAGCAGCCATGGCACAGCCCCACTGCTGGCATGTGGCATAGGCACGTCCCCTGGTTTTAGCCGGGCTCCTGCACAAGGTGATACCCCTGGTGAAACCTCAGTGCAGCTTCAGAGGCTCCTCCAGCACTAGGTAGCCATTTTTAGGTTAGAAGTTTCTGGTTGCAGCAATTTTCATCTCCTTTAGAGTTACTAATTATCTCCCGGGAGCAGGTGAGTTGGGAGGCAGTGCCATGAGTCACCAGCCATGCTGGAGCTTCATGCTGAAGAGAGCCATGGCTCTTGGGTTGGCCTCTCTCCCCCCTGCAGAGGGAAAAGTGCTGGCCCCCACGAGGCATGGCTGGGGGTCCTGCTGGTCCACCAAGCCCCTGTGTTTGCTGCTCCAGGCATGCTCCCCATGGAAAGGGCAGGGTGTCCCCAGATATTTATTCCTCCCTTGGGT